TCAATACGAAATTTGATTGGGAGCCAATGCAGTGTGGATAAGATAGGGGTGATGTGGTCATATCTTCTGGTTCTAGTAAGGACTCTCGCTGCTGCATTCTGGACTAACTGGAGCTTGTTTATGCATCTACTGGAACATCCAGACAGTAAGGCATTACAATAATCCAACCTAGAGGTAACAAAAGCATGAACTAATTTTTATGCATCGTGTAGTGACAATATATTTCTTATTTTAGCAATAATTCATGACACTTCAACCAACAAAAGAAAATTTTAAACTCTTCTGAAATAAATCCCAGACTAATAAACAGCTCAAGAAGACCTTGTAGAATTATATACAACTAGGACATGGAAATAGGAGTGTAACAATACACAAAACTCAAAACTCAAATTAAGGATTGCCTGAATTAAGGACTGCCTGAAAATAGCCTTCGTTTTCCATGTGAAATTGGTTAAAACATTCAACATTATAAAAGTACAATAACTGAAACTTAAAAATCACACAGTGTTTGTTTCATCCATTCAGACTCATATTGAGCAGTGTATAACAAAACAAAAGCTGTGCATTAGAAATAAATTAAACATGGCTATTTAAACATTAGCGCTCTGGACAGTCTCTCACTGGTGTGATTCTAAAGGAGGCAAGGACGAAGCGCATGGCTTATAAGACTTTATACAAAGTCTTCCCTTTGACTCGGATTGAATCAGGTGGGAAAGGCTGCCTAAATTCGGCAGACACGTGTGTAAGTTTTTTACTTCGTGATTTCATCTAATTTAGCCTCTGATCAAACAATGGAATAAGATATGCAATGATTGTACACCTGTAATAAATATCACTGTATATAGGGCCATTATAGGGTCCCTGGTGGACTAGTGGTTAGACCACACCGCTCTCACCACTATGGCCTGGGTTCGAGGCCCCGCCAGGGAACCCATCCCCAGCCACTGGGGTTGCGTGCAACAGTGTGATCTCAATCCCGGTCACAAGCCTGGATAAAACTGGGGAGGGTTGCATCAGGAAGGGCATCCAGTGTAAAAACTGTGCCAAATCAAATATGCAGACCAATGATCCTCTGTGGCAGCCCCTGACGGGAACAGCCGAAAGAGGAACAATAGTGCCATTATAAATTTGTAAACCCTTCAACCAAACATTTCTGGTAAGTGGTGCTCAATCCTGCACAAAGGGTTGGAGGAATGTTGGCCCATTCCTCCTTACAAAACTGCTTCTATTCAGTGATGTTGGTGGGCTTTATAGTAAAAACATTATAGTTTTTGCGTCACTTGTTTAATTGCGTTTTCTTTATCTAATTTTAGGACTTAGATGAAGACCTGATCATATTTCAGGTCAAATTTATGCAGAAATACAGAAAATTGTAAAGGGTTGACTTTATACTTTATACTGCTCGTAATTAGACAAAAAAAAATATTTAGACACTTAAGACTATTTTGGTTGTCACAGTTAATCCATAGTTAATGTGGTGAACTACACCATGTGGTTATTCTGCAGGATAATTGTGAATAAAATCAAGAAAAAGCAGGTGACAAACAGATTGCTTCATACATCAGTGAGAATTTCCAGATACAACTAGAGCACAAACTATTCAAAACAGGATCAATTAGCATGAGTACAGAGGGAAGGTAATGCAGCAGAAACCATTCATCAGCCTCAAGAATAAGAAAGTAAGGGTGAAATTTGCGAAAGAACATGCAGAGAAAGACAGCAGCGTCTGGAGAACTGTCTTATTTTCAGATTAATCCAAATTGAACTTGGGTGGATCTGATGGTAGAGTGTTAGTGTGGAAAAAGCCAGGAGAAGAATTCCAGACAAGCTGCACTAAGGGTACTATAAAGCATGGAGATGACTGAGGCTGTTTTTCCTATAGTGGTGCTGGTGAACTTGTGTTCATTGATGGCATCATGAACTCAGAAGTGTACAGAGACGTTTTGGATGCAAACTTGCAGAAATCAGAAATTATTGAAGACATTATTCAAGATCCTATAGAGCATCTATGGGACGCAATGCAGAAGAACTTGTCCACTGTTCATGCTCTTGTATGGATGAACTGAAAGTTTTGTTGGTTGAAACATGGAGGAATCTTCCACCAGTTGTTACAGAAACTGGTTATTTCCATGCCCAGATGTTGTCAAGAAGTTCTGCCAAACAAAGGATGGCAAACTAAATCCTAAAACATTGTAACTGTGATGTTTAATGAAGCCATTACTGAGTGTACACATACTTTTTTTGTCTAATTATGGCCAATATATCTATTATTTTTATATTCTTAAACATAACAGTCTGTTTTTTGGGAAATATTTTTGCTAGAAAAGTGTGCTTGTGGTATCTTTCTATAAAATAAATGCCACTTGGTTTGACATACTGTTTTCTAATGCAGTGAAATTCATGAATTTGTAAGTGTGGCTTAAGTGTCCAAATATTTTTTGGGGCAATGTACAATTTAGTTTTGTATGTATTGTACAATGTACAATGTAGTTTTGCTTAGAATCAACGTTCTGCTACATGCTAGATAAAGTAGCTCCACTTAAAAGAAAAATAATTAGAGAGAAAAAGCTAGCACCCTGGTATAACGATCACACACGGACCTTAAAACAGACCACTCGAAAACTAGAACGTAAATGGCATCAAACTAAATTGGTAGTATTTCAAATAGCAAAAGTAATCCTAGATTCTTATTTAATACTGTAGCAAAATTGGCACAAAATTAAGACTATTAATTTAAAACCAGACAGTTTTATAACTAACCCTGTAGATAATAATATAATGATATCAGATCAACAATTAGAATGTTTTACTCCCCGTAGAGAAACCAAACTAATTTCACTAATTTCATCATCAAAATCATCAACCTGTATACTAGATCCCTTACCTACATGTTTCTTCAAACAGATCCTTCCAGAAACAATCGAACCTCTTCTAAAGATAATCAATTCTTCCTTTAGCACTGGCTATGTACCTAAATCTTTTAAAATAACAGTTATCAAACACCTGTTTGAAAAACCTAACCTTGACCCCTGTCAGCTGTCTAACTACTGTATAGGCCAATATCAAACCTCCCCTTTATCTCCACAGCAGCTATGCTTATACCTACATAGGAAAAACATTCATGAAATGTATCGGTCAGGATTTAGGCCTCATCATAGCTGGTTAAAATGGTAAATGACTTACTGCTGGCCTCTGATCAGGGTTGTGTCTCCTTGCTTGTGTTGCTTTACCTTAGTGCAGCTTTTGATACCATTGATCATACTATTCTCCTTGATAGACTAGAAAATGTTTTAGGTGTTAAGGAAACGGCTCTCTCCTGGCTCAGGTCTTATTTGACTGATTTGACTATTTGTAGACGTAAATAGTGACTTCTCTACGCATACTAAAGTAACGTTTGGTGTTCCACAAGGCTCTGTTTTAGGCCCACTGCTCTTTTTTTATATATGCTACCTCTGGGCAAAATTATTCATAAACATGGTATTAGCTTCCACTGTTATGCTGATGACACACAGTTGTATGTATCAGCAAAGCCAGATGACAGACACCAGCTTAATAAAATTGAGGAATGTGTGAAGGACATTAGAAACTGGATGCTTATTAACTTTCTCTTACTTAATTCTGACAAGACAGAAGTACTTGTACTAGGACCACATGCAGCTAGAAGTAAGCTTTCTGATTACATAATAACTCTGGGTGGCCTTTCTGTTTCATCATGTGCAGCAGTAAAAGACCTTGGTGTGATTACTGACTCCAGTCTTTCGTGTGAAGCTTACATAGATAATATTACTAGGATAGCTTTTTTTCATCTCAGAAATATTGCTAAGATAAGAAATATATTGTCACTACAGAATGCAGAAAAATTAGTTCATGCTTTTGTTACCTCTACGTTGGATTATTGTAATGCCTTACTGTCTGGATGTTCCAGTAGGTGCATAAACAAGCTCCAGTTAGTCCAGAATGCAGCAGCAAGTGTCCTTACTGGAAACAGAAGATATGACCACATCACTCCTATCTTATCCACACTGCATTGGCTCCCAATCAAATCTCGTATTGATAATAAAATACTACTATTGACCTATCAAGCACTGAATGGTCTCGCGCCACAGTACCTGAGCGAAATTTTGGTCTTTTATGATCCGCCACACCTACTTTGATCAAAGTGAAGACTGCAGCAGAGGGTAGAGCTTTCTCTTACAAAGCCCCACAGTTATGGAACAGCCTTCCAATTAGTGTTCGGGGCTCAGACATAGTCTCAGTGTTTAAGTCTAAGCTGAAAAAATATTTGTTTAGTCAAGCCTTTTGTGAATAGTTTTTTCTTAGGTAAAGGAGCGGGTCTGGAGGGTTCACAGGCATAGAGTGTTGTGGTGAACTGGGAGTGTTGTGGTGAACTGGGAGTGTTGTGGTGAACTGGGAGTGTTGTGGTGTCTGTGTTACTTTCTGGCTCTCCCTTTTAGGTACGCTGTCATAGCTAGTCTTGCTGGATTCCCTGCTTGCACTCTGCATGCAAAGTACATTGTCTTTAACCACTACATGACAAGAGCATACCTATCAATCTCTCCCACTCTCTGCCTCTCTCTGTCGAGCTACACATGCTACTCCTGAGACACCAGTGATCCTAACCCATTCTGCTCTCCGGACCTGCCTGATCCATCCTGATGCCCTACTTTTGGTTGGAGTTCTCATCAGTTGAGATCGCTCGCTGCTGCTGGAGGTGGCCCCACATGGACGGCCTGAAGATCAGCGGGATTGCTGGGGATGGCTTGGAGATCTCATATGGGGAGTTGTACTGTGATGGCTTGGGACTGCGATTGCTGTGGTGGCTTTGGGGCTGCGGTTGCCACGAGCAGCTTTGTACTCAGGACTCCATCAGTGGACAGTGGATAGATTTTAACCAACTGGACTTCTTGCAGAAACTGTGATGAATTTACTGGTTGCATAATTGCACTATTTGTCCATATAGTACACAGTTATAGAAGGGAATTATGTATAATTGCACTATCCGTTAGCAGCCAGATGAGGATGGGTTCCCTTTTGAGTCTGGTTCCTCTCAAGTTTTCTTCCTCATATCATCTTAGGGAGTTTCTCCTTTACAATTTATTTTGGTTTAACTTAATTTGAATCTATTTATTTCTGTAAAGCTGCTTTGTGACAATGTCCATTGTTAAAAGCGCTATACAAATAAAACTGAGTTGAATTGAATTGAATTTACATGTCCAAACATTTCCAAATCAACATGCCATCTGTCAGCCAAAATATTACCATGTCATTGTCCTTGCATCTTCACAGAACATTTTACATATGAAATAATCATTTATTCAGTTCAGATGATTGTTATTTTTCTTTGGAAAGAGGAAGTTTCTATCAGCATCACTATATAAGCATCACCACCATAATTCAGTGTGTTACATCAAGCAAGAAAAGACTCCTGAATAGACGTAAGTGGAATTTTGGTGAGATATAACATATAAAATCATATTACATTAAAACAAATCATGCTTTTTTTGCAGTGCATGAAAATTCAGAACTATGGCTCATCAGACTGCCGTGGTGTTACTTCTTATTCTTGGCACAGCAGCAACAGCTTTGGGTAAGAGTCTTAGCGCAATTAAGCAAGATACTTATAACTAAAAATGAAACATTTGGGGAAGTTTTATGTGATAGTGTAGTTATAATACAGCTGTTTGGTTTCTTTTTGCTTTAACAAAATATCATATTATTAGTGAAAATATGACTTGGTTCCTATTTTGTGATTGTAGCCAAATTGCTGTGATCTCTTAATGCTTTATGAACATCATCAAAATCCATCATCTGTACGTATAAGAAATGTAGAGAAAATAATTTACAAAAAATGATGACCTTTACCCATTTTCCTTTTAAGCCAATGTGGTGAATCATCCACCAGGTAAAATTAAAATTAAAGGCTTGAAAAT